TGCCGGCCAATCTGAATATAATAAAAAAAATATACGCTGGAAGAAAATCAAGAATTGTCAGATGCTACTCGTATACATGGTATCCATGGTACCCTTAATACTTAGCTACAACTCATAGTTTATGCTGCAACAGTGACTGTTGCAGCATAAACTATGAGTAATTTACACTTATTTATACCACTGTGGTATAAAGATATTTTTTAAATTAATGCCTAGATGGAGACTTATGTTTGTCTGCAATTTGTATAATCACTATCATAATTTTCATCAACAGTGTCATAAGTAAGTTGCCGGTTAGTTGTGACAGTAATTTTGTTAGCGTAGGTTAGTAAAGTTAAAGTTGTCAACAATAAAAAAATGAATAAGTGACGCTCATTAAAGGCAAACGGTCGTGTGTCTAGGGTCTCGTTTAAACTTTTAAATTTATTAGTCGCCAACAGTTTTCATAAGAACAGTAAGCATAGGCAAAGAACTAATAAATAGGGGCTCACATAAGCAGTCATTAAACACTCTAGTCCAAATAAACACTAGGCAAAGAAACTCATCCTAAAGAAATAAACATCTGCACATTTAGGGGAACCATAAATTACCTTCTATGCGAAATAATAAACAACCTACAAACAGGAAGTACTTCAAGACCAGCAAGGATAGGTCCTAGCAGAGTAATAACCAACCAAGCCCCATGCTTGAAACCCAATTAAATGAGGTAATTACTAAATCCCTGGTTAAGGGGGACTCTGGATTCTACTTGGTTTTGGGTCAGTGCAATGTCCCTCAAAAACAAAATTTTTCGCTTCTTGTCCGCACTCCACTAGCCTCGAGCGTATGGCTCGGCGACAAAAACTCAGGGAATGTCCTTAATCATCTACACTGTCATCCACGATCTCCTAGGCGAGATTTACCAGCCGGGGTAAAAATTCGAATCCACCAAACACAGGCAATGCTGTGCAGTGGCGGAATACGTGAGAATATTGAATATTCATATATATTCATATTCATAATAAACAATAAAAGAATGAATAATTAAAAAATTGATCAACACAATTTTAGCAATACAGTAATATTTGCAAAATTCATGCACATATTTTCAGCAACATAGACATATCCCCAAAATTGATGCATACCTTCTTTGGCAACATAGACATATCTACAAATAGCTCTTATCCAAGAAGAGTTTTTTCTAAAATCTAATTTTTAACTGGCTCAGAATCTTAGTGTGGTTCTTCCTTTGCAAAGAAAATACTGTAAGTTAATATAATTTTACAAATATGTCACAAATTTATTATTGAACAATCTCATACGGTCATTATCTCGGAATTAAGGTTTTTTTACTTATGACACTGTTGTCGCCCATGTGCGATATGTTCATTAAAATTGGCGGATCGAAAATGGTAACTATAGTTTAAAACATTTTAAGAAACAATTTAATTATTTAATCAGATATTTTTTGGGTTTCTGATTGCAAAATGTAAATAATAACTTGAAATCTTGAATTCATATCAATCTAAAATTGCTGACTGGCAAACTTTAAACTTATCAGATTCGATCGAAAGGCCATGGACTGTGTAATTTAAAAAGTAGTTCCAAATTAACTAGTCGCAGATACACCGTAATCCATCTGCAGGCAGGTAGAGACCTTTCCTGTAGCCGTCACTCTTGTCGCGTCGCGACAATGCAGGAGAATGCTGCAACTCGCGCGAGCTTACAATTAACATGATATTAAGATTTAAAAGTTGGAGATTTTGACAAAGAATTTCGAAACTGTGTACTACAATCGACTCAGCTATTTATCGGCCAACGCTGAGTTTATTTATATCATAAGGCTGAAAAGTGTGTTAAGCTCAAAGTCCGACGCGTTAGCCGAGGCCTAAAATTGAGTGAAGCAGAAAAAGACACATCTTAGCCGAATGGCATACTACATTTTATCTTCAAGACATAGTTTTTTGTACACCGATACATAAAACGTACTTACTATTATAATAACAATTTTTAAAAGTATAAAGTGAGGTTAGATAGCTTCAAAGTTCAAAAATGCATACCTAATTTTTACCGACTTTTGAGTAGCTTTTTCGGGATCGCTGTGAGCCCCCGCAACTCTAGGCTCGTTACCTACTGGGCGATAAGCTGACCACGTTTAGCTGTTGATTAACTTCAGTTTTGCATTTTTGACGAGCCCAGTCATATCGTTATCACATTAATTTGCGTGAATTTAAAACTTTTAAGTTTACGCAAATTAATGTAACCAAAGATTAAGTTTAAACTAAAATGTTTAAACTAAAATGTCCGATTGGGAATCATTTTGGAAGTATCTTCCTAAGGTCCGCCCCTTTGTTTGTAAAAGTTAAAGTAAATTAAATTGGGGGTAAACTTAGGGCCGGATTTAAGTATATGTTACATAGGCTGCAGCCTATGGGCCCGCAACACAAAGGGTCCCGCAACCACTGTCCGGGTAAAAAATGATTTTTTGTTATAGTAAATAAATAGTATAAAGGTTTGGTGATCATGATTAATCAATTGAATTTGACGAGAGAAAACACGGAGCGCATAAGGGAGCAAGGGAGCCAATTCTGGAATTCGTTGCTATCATATAAGGAAGGCGCACTTTTGCATAGTGGTTTATATATTTGTTATCTTTAGCATGTAATATTTGGAAATACATGGATTGCTAAGATTTTATTTGATCTGATGAAGGCGTTTGACGTTGTGTCGAGAGATCTTATAGACAAGCTTAGGCATTATATTGTAAAAACTATTTAAGTCATAGCTTTCCAAAAGATATCAATGTGTAGAAATTGACAATTCAAAATCAAACTTTTATCAAATAATAATAATAATAATAGATTTATTTGTTGTTAGGATGTACATACATTTTAAAGTTTTACAAAAAAAACATCTATAATACTTATGTATGTATTTACACAACAAAAGGGTCTAAAAAGCAGCAGAGCTAAATTAATATTTTAGATCAAAAAGAAAACTTAAACCATAATCAATAGCATGACCAAAATTGCAGCACATTATAAAGAAGGTTTAATAACAAGTCAATAGATAATTTTTCATTTCTTTTTTAAACTGGGGTATTTTAAGGTTTTTACTTTATAATAGAGTTGTAAAGCAGATAAACGTTGTATGTAAAAGATCTCTTAAAAATTTCTGTTTTATGAGTTGGAGGTGAAATAAGACCTTTATGTCTTAAATTAACATCATGAACGTCTGTTCTGTACTTAATATTTTGGTAAGAGAGCTTTTCATATAAGATAATTTTATGAAATAAAACGGAGTGTGGCTTACGTCTATTTACCATGCTTAACCACTTACTTTCGGAAAGTTTGTAAGAGATTGGTTCATATTTCTTGATGCTAAATGCATAGCGCAGGCAAGACTTTTGCACACTCTGTTTTAGTTTTAATTTTTGTGATAATATATGACGATGAGAATATAGGAGTTTTAGATAACAATATGCTTTTTTTAAACACATGTTAATATATTTTTCAAATCGTAGATCAGTATCTGTCACCACACCTAAACTATAATAATTGGCCATATAAGAAGTTGGCAAAAGCACATTTTCCACCTTTATTTTGATAATATTTCCTTATACTTTATTAAATCTTCCAAAAATCAAAACTGAAGACTTAAGAGGGTTTAATCTGAGTTGATGCTTACCAGACATTTGCACCAAAGAGTTAAGATTAATGCACTATATAGCTTGTTGTGCCTCATTCGGGACAGTTGACAGAAATCAAATTTTTAACAAATAAAATTGGCTTTAAATTCTGTTTTGTTATTGTCATAGTATAGTATGCAACTCGTTTATAAACTTCTCTAGTTACTCGTTTTTATCAAACACTCTCTCGCATGCTTCGCTCGTGCTTAATTAAACTCGTAACTAAAATGGTATTTATAAAACTTGATACATAATATACTATATTGGTTTCTTATTTGGAAACTACCAAATAATAAGTAATCAAACTTTTAGTCTCAGTTGTGTAATATATATTTTAAATTTCACTCTCTTGGTTAAATAACTTTTTAAAAAGGTTATTGCCAAGGAAAATCCTACAAAATGCATATTGGAATACAATATTTCGTGGCCAATTGTGTCGCAAGAAAAATCTAGTATAACCAGCGCCACAGTCTTACCAGAGTCGACATGCCTCAGAATATCATCAACAATATCGGCGAAAGCCGGATTTAAATTCTGGAAGAATATCAAATTTTTCGATGTGCCTTTTAATCTGTCCATTTAAAATCTTTTCTAATAATTTTGAAAGTACTGGCAATATAGAGATTGGACGCAATTGATCAATACCATATATATTACTTTTTTTAGAAAGGGACACAACTCTTGATTCTTTCCTTTTTTTTTTTAGGAAATATGTATTGCAATAAACAGGAATTTAGAATATATTAGCATATATGCGTTAAAAAGGGTAAAATAAAAGGACAGCACAATTTAAGTATATCAATATTGATTTCATCAGAACCTATTGAATTGAATTGTATTTGATTTAAAAATTTTAAAATTTCTTCTTCACTTGTCAAAAAAAACTCAAATAAATCATTAAAAAACATTTAGTGCTATTCTCATAAAAGCTAATAAGGTTTTATCTGGTTCTGTTAATTTGGAAAACTGAAGAAAGTATTTATTTATTTCTTCTGGTTTATTTATGGCTTCAGGTAATAATTATGATTTTGGTCTATTATAAAATTTATATATAAAATGAATTATTAAGTCCCGCAGGGATATGTACTTGGGGGCATTCTCGCCCGTAAAAAGAACCTTGTTTAGCCGATCGCCAGCATTTTCCGAGCAAGTCCCGTTGCAAATGTATAAAAATAAATGAAGCACATTTTGAAAATATGATGTAAATTAAATATAAATGTAACTGTATAACTTGGAAGTAAGTTTTTATTCACTAATAGAGCAATGTTATGCAGCTATTGCAAATATTACAAAAAATAATATGGGTTGCATAATACTACGCTTTTCTACTTACCACATGGTTTAACTTCGGTTCTCTTTTCTTCAGAAGGGCCGCTTATTATCGGCGGCGGAGGCGGGGTCGGGTCCCGAATCATGGGCGGCAGGGGTGGCTCGACCGGAGCCATTACCGCCATAACCGGTTGTTCGACCTCGTCTTCAGGGGGCGGAGTCGTCGAAATGTCCATCGCCTCATCGCATCGCACCACGTCGGGCTGCGGATACTCCCATTGGCCCTCGCCGGTGCTATGATTTTCGTAGAAATAGCGCATGTGCGACCTAAAACACCATGCAAACAAACATAATGAGATGTACGTCGAAATGGCTTGATTTTGGTAATATTTTTTTGATTTTGAAAATATTTACAAGTACCGAAAGTAACACGATTTAATACAGGGTGACTATAAAATGTCGAAGTAGATTATAAACACGCGGATGATGCGGATGCCATTTTAGGTTTAAAAAATAATAATTTCTGATAAAAGTTACCCATTGGGCATTCTTATCTAAACAAATTAAATGGGAGATAATTTTTCTGAGATGAGCTTGACATATGTAGTTGTTATTTAATATAATTAACAAACTTTATCCTTACATTAGTAAGCTGTCTCAAAACATTAAAATTTATAACTATGTTTTTTAAACATCTTATGTGATGGGAATCTTGGGGGTTATTTTACGGACACCCTGTGATTAAACAATTAAAATTTAAAAATATATGTTGCAGCTCTAGTAATTTTCGTTATTATACTCTACCTGACTTGACCAACATTAAATTAAAACAAATTAATTAATAAAAGTCCCACAACTCCTGCTGATTTTTGATGTATACCATCTAATGGACCTAAACATAAAAATAGATTAGAATCAACAACATTTAAAATGTAAACTATATTTTATTAAAATTGTAAACACAAATACTACTCAATGAAAGTACAAACCTGCGTTATAAGAGAGTGTATTCAAATTTATTGTGTATGAATTAATTAAAAATTGAAGATACTAATTATTAATCAAATTCCTTTCCTATAGAAGAATTATCTATCAATTATAATCAATATAGTCGGTGATGTGATGGTTTAGCTTACTCCTTAAGCAGTCTTTATTTTTTCATTAATTGTATTACCGAAATGGGGAAATACCCAATAGGGTTGAGACATGTCGAATTATCACTTTTAATATATAGATAATTCACTAAAACATTTTAGCCCGGATTTGTTAAGCCTGATACTCATAATTTGTTTAAAATATAATTGAATAGGTCAATGCAGAAACTGAATATGTCCACTTTTTAGGGAAATTAAGTTAAACATGGATTTACTATATAATAATAATAATAATAATAAGTAAAGGGTGCCCGATCGAATGGCGTAGAAATTTTCATGTCACGGTAATCTACATTATACAAAGGCGTTAATATAGTACAGAAACTGAATATGTATTCAGTTTTTCTTAGTTATCTCAAAACTACCTAGTAGGACATATTCAGTTTCTGCATTGACGTATTCAATTATGATCGCGGTCTTGACATGACTGTTATAACATCGTTACGTCACGATCTCTTTCCAAGGTCATCTAAGCGTTTTAAATGTTGCGCTTTTAAATGACTTTTATGTAAGAAGCTACAAATGATAAACTTACAAACCAAGGAAAAATACCTAACCAAAAACGTCTACAAACTAGAGAAGGAGAAGCCATTGAAAATCCTAGACTCGCTATCTTCAGCACCGGAACACAATCTCCAGCTACATTCAGGAAAAAAAGAAAACTGACTCTAAAGGGAAAGGCAAAATAACAGACGAAGACAAAAACGCTGTAGCATTCTCAAAAATTGTTTTACAAACGTAGCAAAATTTTAATGACAAACTCATACGTTCATTCCAAATATGCAATAAAAAAAATTGCATGTCCAAACCCCCATGTAAAATTCTAACTGAAACAGCCTTGACATCTTGAATTCTAATTTACTTTATTTTAAGGCAACAAATAAAAGAAAGATACATTTTAAACCTAGATGTTTTCTGAACATGGGTCCGTTATTGTTTTTTTGAATATCACAGAAACATTTAAAAAATTAATTAATTTTCCTATAAATACATATGTGTCTAATCTTACGTCGTTTTAGAGAATGTTAAAGTTTTTGAATTTTAAAACATTGTTTTTTTTTATTAATTTAAACTACCATTTTTAAATGATGATTTAGGTTGGTATTGGTATTTGGTATTGGTGTTAAGCCCGTATTACAGTCTGCAATTACTTGCAGCAATCTTTCTTGCATGCAAGTTTTATTGCTGACTTTGCAATTCTAATTTCAACTTGCATGATACCAACCAAACTGGCAATAAAAATCAAGCAGGACCAATAATTTGAAACCATACACATCAAACATTTTTTTTTTGATGATTTAGTTATTATTATTATATAAATAACCAATTGGTAATTACAGGTACCTAGCATAAATCCAAAATAATGTGTATTTATTAGGGTGTTCCAAAAAAAGTCGATAATTTTTGTTTTTCGATTGCACGTGAAATTCTTGTTATATATGCTATAAAAAAATTCTGTAAAATTTTGAGCCCTTAATATCAACTTGAAGAACTCCATCATCGAATTTTAAGATTTTCCATTGATTTAACATGGAAAAATGATTTTTTAACCTTCATTTCTCCTGCAAACTATGTAGAACATTATTTTTCGGAAAAACCATCACTAATCCTTCTTCAGCATTAAATTCTGTAAAAAAAAGTTCTTAGGGTCCAGTCTCTAACGTCAACCCTCTCGTTTTTATTTGCGTTGAAAAATATAGATTTTTTGAAATTTCGATTTTTTTCCATTTAATGTGTAAAATTTTGATCTTAGACCATAAAGTTTGAGAAAATTTTAGTAGATCGTTCAATGTTTCACAAATCTGTGCCAAGAAAATTTTTTGATCACTTTTGGAGTAATTTTTTGTAAAATTTATTATGATAGCGAATAATTCATTCTTGGCACAGATTTGTGAAACATTGAACGATCTACTAAAATTTTCTCAAACTTTATGGTCTGAGATCAAAATTTTACACATTAAATGGAAAAAATCGAAATTTCAAAAAATCTATATTTTTCAACGCAAATAAAAACGAGAGGGTTGACGTTGAGACTGGACCCTAAGAACTTTTTTACAGAATTTAATGCTGAAGAAGGATCAGTGATGGTTTTTCCGAAAAATAATGTTCTACATAGTTTGCAGGAGAAATTAAGGTTAAAAAATCATTTTTCCATGTTAAATCAATGGAAAATCTTAAAATTCGATGATGGAGTTCTTCAAGTTGATATTAAGAGCTCAAATTTTTACAGAATTTTTTTTATAGCATATAACAAGAATTTCACGTGCAATCGAAAAAAAAAATTATCGACTTTTTTTGGAACACCCTAGTATTTATATAAAAAATGACCCTGTCTTAGAAACTTAAAAACATAATTTTGGAAACATTCTTTATATATTTTATTTATAATTGCTTAATTTTAATATATTAAAATTTAAAAACAAAAACAACACAGTTAAAAAGTTGTCTTACCTTGTATATGGCAGTTTGCTCTCCATTTTCTTTGAACTTGCTAACAAAAGTTTTGGAAGCAAGGATAGAGGAAAGGCTGGGTGTGGTCTGAGGCAACACAAATTAAACAAAATCGTAATGAAATCATACCTATCCCATTTTAATGTCCAGCCTTTGGGTGCCGCTTCTGTTTCCAATTTTATGAGATCTGCGCATGTGTCGCTTAACCATTTATTAAAGTAACTTGTCAAGAGGCCTTCCTCTGCCATCGCCAAAAACAACGTCTGCAAAAAATACTCATATTTTTCTTTCCAAAAACTATATTGTTCGAAATTATAAATTTTTTAAATAAAAATATGTATACACAGGTCCAGAAAATGGCCCACTATGAAAGGGCGTAATGGATTGTGGTCAACGTAATTTAATTTTAATTGTAAATAGGACGTAATGGATTTATTACGCCCTCAGAATTTTTTTTTCAGTTTTATGTGAAATGAAAAATAAACAATTTGCATTGTTTTATTGTGTCATTTTTGTAATTAAGGTAAATTCTCACAAAATGTTATTTATTTTTTAACAGAATCTGACAACCCTACCTCCAGGCGTCACGAGATTTATGGGCGGCCCCTATAATAGATACATTTTATTATAATGATGCCATAAGTGATAATTTGGATGTATTTATTTGACATTTAAATTGTAATTTAGAGTAAAATGGTACATACATTTTTGTTTTTTAAAAGTGTTTTTTAACAAAAGTGAAAATTTACCTTAGAAGTTATAAATTAATTCACGAATAAAATTGAAAATGTATTCCTAACATTTCAAAAACACTTTATGCGACAATAGATGTGCATTTTATTTATACTAATACAGTTAATTACGTTATATTACTTAAAAAAAGCATAAATATGATGGCCCCAATGAGTTATTGGTTTTACTACAATCTTATTTATGGTATAAATAGCCTGCTAACAAGAAGATAGTATAACTGCTCTGTTTTCATTTATAAAACACTAAACTACCTTTTAGATAGTCCAGAGAATTTAAAACTTATTGGTATAAACTGATATACCCAAACAAATAAAATTGAAATTCACATATCACCCTTTAGGAAATGTACTTGAAGAACCGTCAGCTTCATATCTATAGCACGAATTACCAGAGGATGAGGCTTGCAGACAACATAGACCAAAATAATAATATATACTTCAAGAAACCAAAAAGTTATGTCGTTATGAAAAAAAACAACTTTTTGGTCGCGACACATTGAGTGGTGCGCAGTTTATTTCACATTTTTTTTCTGAAATTTTATTTCAAAATATTTATTTTATAAAAAGTATTCCGGTATCCAAGCCTCTTGGATGAGACATTTAAAACATTTATTTGTCAAATAAATATGAACTAGGTAATAATAGTAACATAAAGAGTAAAATTTGTATTACTATGTCGCGAAATATATTCAACAGAAATTTTGGAAAAAAATTGCATGGGGTTGGATAGAGAATAAAAAGAGCTTTCAATTGATATACATGACTTCCTTTGTTTTTAGACTGTAAACAAATAATTTAGATGATACCAAAGTAAAAAAGGCCAACTTGAAAAATAACGGACACCCTAATATACAGGGTGTCCCAAATTGGTTGTCTGTATAGGCTATCTCAGTAAATATAAATGCTAGAAAAAATTCGACCACGGGTCCCCGTCGTCTTTTTTAAAGATACATTGGATTATGTCTTTGAATTTTCTCGATTCGAATTTGTTTAGGAGATACACCTATTTTTTTAATTTTTGCCAATTTTGACAAATGCTTGTAGCTTCGTTAATATTTGAGTTACGAATACAGGTTTAAGACATTATGTAGGCACTTTTTGTCACAGAATTCATTAGTGTAGACAGATTTTTTTAGCTCTTTTAGGTTAAGAGATATGACTCAAAGTTGTGTTTTTCAATGGAAACTATAGTTGGCGTTGACTCAAGATACATACACCTTAAGATAGGATGGTGCGCATGTTGGGCGGGGCTTAAATACGTCACTTGATGAGTGTTTTTAAATCTCTAACGTGCTTTTTAATTATCTGCTGCTAAAATTCTTGTTTTTGCGATGCTGTTGTATGTAAACTTGCTCTATTTTTTGTTTAACTTCAAATTATTGTTATTGCGTTGTGTTAACCTGTTCTGTTTGTTTATTATTGTTTTTGTGTTGCGTTAACTTGTTTTGTTTGTATTTTAGTTTGTGTCGTGCCATTTGCATTTATTAAAATGCGGTGTGGCATATTTGGATGCTATTCGGACAACCAGTCCAAGAAAAACCCTTTAAATAAAAACAGGGTCATTTCATATCAAATCAACCAAAATAAAAATAGGTTTGGCAGGTCACCTCTCCGATTTTGATAATTTTTGGTACAGTTATTCTATCCATAAATAGGATCAAAAATCCAAAATTTCAGATTTTTCGGACCAGTAGTTTTTTTTAAATTAATTTTTGAAAATCAAAAAAACTGTCAAATTCTCCTCAACATGCTCCCAGAAAAAATAGAATATCTCGAGAACTACTAACACTAGAATAGCGATATATAGCTTATTTTAAAGGTCTTGAAAATACCTTTCGAATGAGGTATATCATGACATACTTTTTATTTAAAAAAAAAAGTAACTTTTGAAAAAAAAAAATTTTTTTGAAATTTTTCAAAAAAGTTTAATTTAATTTTTTTCAAAAAAATTTATTTTTTTTGTCAATATCTTAGCAACTTGTTGGCAAAATTTCAGGTTGGAGAAATAATGGGTTCATAGTGAAAAAAAATATTGAAAACTTATGGGTTATTCTCAAAATAACTACAATCTTTGCGTGACGTGTGTTTTTTTTCTCCCATATTAAAAAAAAATGGTAAAAATAAGTAACATTTTTAAAGTACACAACGTTAACTAACAGTACTTTAAGTAAAAAAAAATAAGAAAAAAAAATACCGCCCAAAAAACTGATCTGAATAGAGATATTGTCCTTTCCGTGGAACGTGACTATATCGTGTTGATAAGTTTCAGTTAATGTAGTGAAAAGCCTGCATATTAAAAAAACCTAAAAAATTGCCATTATTATTAATACCCCAAAAATACATAGATATGGTTCATATTCCTTTTTATTCTTTTTAATTTAATATTTTAGTTTAGTCATTTATACGTTACCAGTTTCGATCCATTCCGAGGACTTATTTGTAAGTGCAAAATTTCAAAAGTATTTCGCACCACTCACGTCAACCGTTAATTTTATGTCATTAAAAAACCTGTCATTTGTTATTTAAGTCGCCCTTGTCAGTTCTTTTTTGAAAGGTTGTAAAGAAGCGTTCATGTTTATGTACGAGGCTCCAGTGTAGAAGCATAGGCTGTCCTTTCTGTTACAATTATATTTCAAACAGTAAGTATTGAATTATTTTCTAATTATTGTCACAATTATTGTCAAAGTTTTTATTTTTGGCACATATCAAATGCGAAGGCATAACCTAAAATTTACCTTTCTTATAGAGAATAATATACATAGATGTCCATTCAGTGGACGTCTTTTCTGTGGACATAATTTACCCATAAATAGAAAAATTAAGGTTTGCATGCAATATCAATCTTATTTTAGTTTAGGATTTAACTAAAGCTTTACAAAAATGCTCTTGTAATAATATTACCAAACTTTTTAGTATTAAAAAAATAATAAACCGAAAGTGTAGTTATTTTAAGAATCACCCTTATAAACATGCAAAATTCCAGCATAAGTGTTTTAATTTGTTATAAAAAACTTGTTTTTCGAAAACTGTCATTAAAAATTGACTTTTACATAATATTTATTAAGTGTCAAAACAACGGTTTTGTGTCTAAATGTTTTTTTAAGGTTTTTACATCCGTTGCTATTAGCAATGGATGTAAAAGTCTTTTACATCCACCTAAAATATTTTTTGGATGACCCCTGTAAATGTAGATGACATACATGTCAAATAAAATAAATGTATTTGTCAATTTTTTCGTAATATTTTTATAAATTTTTAAGCTGTGGGATACAGTTTTCGAAAAAATGTTGTTTGATACTCGATTGCGAAATTCTTTTGCATTCTCGAATGATTTTTTTGCTCGCTACGGCTCGCAAAAAAACTTTCATCCTCGAATCCAAAAGTGTCATTTCGCAATCATTTTATTATCCGACACCCAGAGCAGACATTTTAGTAGTAGAAAGAAATGCAGTATTAAAGAGGGTTCAGCCTCTTACTTCTACCGGTCGAACCTACACGCTTACCAAAGATGAAATGTTGGATTCTTCAAAAATTTTAGAAAAAAGAAACTAAAGCTGAAATTATCTAATTTTTTTCCTTTATAATTTAGTTTTTGAGTTTTTTTATTCCTTTTATCAATATTTTATCAAAATAAATACCACTATATTGCATGCATTTTTATTGTTATTATTTTTTTTCACCTTGTTCCAATCATTTCTCCATCTTGAAATTTTGCCAATATGTTGCTAAAATATTGAGAAAAAAAATACTTTTTTAAAAATTTTCAAAAAATATTTTTTTTTCAAAATTTTATATATTTTTTTTTCAATAAAAAGTATGTCATGAGATACCTCGTTCGAAAGGTATTTTCAAGACCTTTAAAATAAGCTATATATCGCTATTCTAGTATTAGTAGTTCTGGAGATATTCAATTTTTTCTTAGTACATGTTGAGGAGAATTTGACCGTTTTTTTGATTTTCAAAAATTAATTAAAAAAAAACTACTGGTCCGAAAAATCTGAAATTTTGGATTTTTGATCCTATTTATGGGTAGAATAACTGTACCAAAAATTATCAAAATCGGAGAGGTGATCTGCCAAACCATTGGTTGATTTGATATGAAATGACCCAACATTAAATTTAATTGATTCCCGAAAAAGGAAACAGTGTTTAAATACCACAAAAAGAATAGACAATATTAAAGTTAAGGCCGCTTCTGTTTCCTATAAACATTTTCTGGACATTTTCGTACAGTTGGCTGCCTCAGCTTCGCTTCGGCCGTCAATCTCTGTACTCACCACAAAAAGAGTCACTTCTACTCCTTATGACATAATCTACTATTTTAATGAAGTCAACTCCAGGGCTGGATGCTCCCGTGTTTTGGTTCGTCCCGCGCATGACGTCACTTGATGAGTAGTTGCCGTGAGAATATAATAATATAATATAGTAATACTTATATACTTATAGTCACTGTAACATATAAAATTTTTTTTTTTCAAGGGCGTAATATAAATAGGATAAGCAATAGAATT